TTTTGAGTTTCTTCAGGGTTTTTTTCTTCTTTTTTTAAACTGAATTTTTGCAAATTTCATACAACATATTCTGATCATATTTAGATCCCACCCCATATCTGCACCTCCCTTACTAATCCCTGATCAAATTTCATATACAAATTTATATATATATTTTATTCCTACAGGGTCAGGTTTGTGTCCCCAAAAGCCCTTCAGTGTGGGTTCATTCACTGGAGCCTGTTCAGCCTTCCAAGAGTCTCACCCTTAAATGAGACTCAATGGATATTTTCAGCTACCATCAGTTTCTTCAGACTTTTAAGATAAAAGGATGTTGGATATTGCCAAAAGCCTTTCCTATGTCTATTGAGATGATCACATAATTTCCTCACCTTGAGTCCATTTATGAAATTTATAAAATTTATTGTTCTATGTATATTGAACCATCCTGCATCTCTGCAATAAAGCAAAGTTCATCATGGTGAGTGACCTTTTTGATGTGTTCTTGAATTTTTCTTTACAAGTATTTAGTTGAGAATTTTTCTGTCTATGTTCATCAAGGAGATGGATCTGTAATTTTTTGTTGCATGTTTATATGCTTTTGATACCAGGGTAATACCAACCTTGTAAGAATAGAGTGGTAATATTGTTCTTTTGGTGATGGTTCTTTAGAGGTTTGGTAAAATTCACCAGTGAATCCACCTGAGCCCGGGCTTTTTTCAGTTGGAAAATTTTTAAAAAGTATTAATTAAGCTGGGCATGGTGGTGCATGCTTTTAATTCCAGCACTTAGGAGGCAGAGGCAGGTGGATCTTTATGAGTTCAAGATCAGCCTGGTCTACATAGCAAGTTCCAAGCCAGCTGGGGCTACAGGGAGACCCTGTCTCAAAAAGACCAAAAGAAATCTTAATTTTTATAGGTATATGTGTGGGCCTGCATGAGTATGTGCGCACTACATGTGGAACCTACAGAAGCTGGAAGAGGGTGTTAGATCCCTTGAAACTGGAGTCATAGGATGCTGTGAGTCTCCATATGGGTGCCTAGGAGCCAAACTCTGGCCCTTTTTAAGAGCAGTGACTGATTGAATGCTCCAGCCCCTAGTTGGGAGATTTTTAATTACTTATTTCAATCTCACTGCTTATTGCGGATCTGTTTAAATCATTGATCTCACCTTGGTTTAATTTTGGTAGTTTATATGCATCTAGAAATTAATAAATTACTTTTAGAGCTTTCATTTAGTGGAATATATATATTTTAAGGTAAGATCTAGTGATTTTCTGAATTTCTTTGGTATCCATTGTAATGGCTCACTTTCTTTCTTTAATTTGACTCTTCTCTCTCTTTTTTTTTTAGTTTGGCTAAAGGTTAATCAATTTTATCTGTCTTTTCAAAAAGCAAACTCTTTGTTTCATTGACTTCTTTTTTCCATTTCACTAGATTCTACCCTGATCTTGACTTATTTCCATATGCTGCTTGGGTTTGGGATTGCTCTTCTTTGACCAAGGCCCTACTGTATATCATTATTTACTTGAGAACTGTCTGATTTCTTTTTTCAATATATTTTTAAAACTGAATTTCTGTGCTTTTCATACATCTTAATCATAGTGAGACCCCCTCCCCTATCTGCACCCTCCCATTAACCCCCTACCAGATTTCATGCATCCTGCTACATAGGTTAAGGCCTATTGAGTCAAATTCGTGTCCCAGATGTCCCTAGCTGTGAATTCATCTACTAGATCTTGGTTAGCATATCTAGTGTCATTCCCTTAAAGAAGACCAACTCTCACACACCCAGCAGGGATCAGCTGACAGTGGTTCCTGGACTAAGCTGGGGCTTCCTGCCCATTTCCCCAGTTCTGTTCTGGATTTTTGTCTGGTTTGAGTTTGCATGGTTCTTGTGCACATTGTCACCATTGCTGTAAGGTCATGTGAGCAAGTTCCCAGCTGCCTGGAAAACTGTTTTCTTGCTCCATTACCCCTAGCTCTTACAATCTTTCTGCTCCCTCTTCCACAATGGTCCCAGAGCCCTGGGTTGGTGCGGTTTAATATAGGAGTCCTGTCCAGGGATATGCACTCTGCAGTCTCTTCTTCTCTATACTTTGGCCAGTTGTGGCCTTCTGTGTTCATCTCCTTCTGTTATATGAAGAATCTTTGCTGGTGAGAGTTGAGAGATGCATTAGTATTCTCTCTACTCCCTGTTCCACTTATGTTCTGTGAGCCTTAGGTGTAGAGGTTTCATTGTAGATGTGTCACTTAGAGTTGGGCATCTCACACACTTATTCTCTACCTTGACCAGTTGTAGAACTCTGTAATAGTTTCCCGTTATTGCAAGAAGAGGCACAGAATACATACAGTAAGAAATTACATTTGTTTAGGGAAGTGCCAGACGTAGGGTTCTCTCTAGGATCTATGACCTCTCCAGCCATATATATTTGGCTATGTTTACAGTACCATACATGAGTTCCTTCCCATTGAATGGGCTTTAAGTCCAATTAGATAGGTGCAGATTATTTCCATGATTAAAGTGCCACTCTTGCACCAATATAGTTTTCTGTGTGGATCATTGCTTTGGCAATGGTTAGACCATTGATTGATTTTTTTTCCCTTAGTGCCATGCAATAGTATCCTCTAAAACTATGAAAGCTAGTCTTCAGGGAGGAGGGTTCCAGATCAGTTCCAGCTCCAAGTCCTATGTCTGAAGTGTGTTCTGTCTTTAGTAATAGGGTCTTATCTTCAAGTTCTGGAAGGCAATCAAGGGCTGTGGCAATAGCCTGTGTTATTTTGGGAGTCTTTTGGTCTATCCTGACCAACAACTCAAAGGGAGGTTTCTCTTGCCTGGCACTGTGTTTCTTGTTGTACGGCCTTCAGCTATACACATGCACTCACGTTCAGATATTGTATGTGTATTTTTCAGTAGGCTTTTGAACTAATGTGTTTCTCTCTGTCTTTTTACACTACCTATGTATTAGTTATCTCCTCTCTCTCTCTCTCTCTCTCTCTCTCTCTCTCTCTCTCTCGCCCCCTACATAACATTCCCTCCTTCCTCACCAGTTAAAGTACCCCCATTTCCCCCATTTCACCTTTCATAATACTTGTCTCCAATTATCCTGCCTTTCTTGAGTTTCTTCTTCCCTTTTACCCCCATGGTTCCTGGTATAACCCTACTTCCTCCCTTCCCAGTCGAATAGCCCCATTTTACCCATTTTACCTTTGGTAACCTTACTATTCCCCTTTTCTCGGGTTCCTTTTACTTTACTTGGTTTCTTTTTATTTTCCTGACTCCTGTGGTTACATCAGGATAAATACATATAAGGCTCTGGTGCTAAGATCTATAAGTGAGAAAGAACGTTATATCTTGTTTTTCTGAGTCTGTGTTACTTCACTTAGTGTAACAGTTTCTAATTTGACCCATTAACCTGCAAATTTGATGATTTTGTCTTTCTTTACTGCTGAGTAGAACTCCACTGTGTAAATGTACCACATTTTCTTTTTTTTAAAAAAATTGTTTTTATTGAATTTTTGTGCATTTATACAGAATATCTCAAACAATCTTAATCATCTTTATACTCCCGTCCCCAGTGGTACCCTCCCATAGGACCATAGGATCCATGTTAAAGCCCAGTGTATCAAGTCAGTGTCCCCAGATGTTCCCCAGTGCAAGTCCATCCACTGAGGTCTAGTCAGCCTATCTAGAGTCTCTTGTTTTAGGAAGATCAGCTCTTCCTCACCTAGCAGTAATCAGTTGCCAATGTTTCTTCAGCTAAGATTGGGGTCTGTTGTCCATTTCCCCAGTTCTATGTTGGGTTTTTGTCTGCCTGAGTTTGCATGGGACTTTTATATGTTGACACCATTGCCATAATATCATGAGCAGGGTCCCCGGAGCTTGTAGGACTCTCTTTCTATATGGTCATGCACCTCCTCCCTGGCTCTTGCAATCTTTCAACTCCCTCTTCCATGATGGTCCCTGAGCCCTGGGTCAGTGAAATTTATATAGGAGTCCTGCCCAACGACCAGCAATATGCAGACTCTTAATTCTCTACGTTTTGGCCATTTGTGATCTTTTGTGTTCCTGACCCTCTGTTGAATTAACTGGCTTCTTAGAGCCCCTGTCTTGATGCCTCTGGCTGCTTCCTCAGGTGGCACCCTTGTACTCTGCAGACAGTGACTTCTGAAAGGGGCTTTTAGGGTACTGATTGTAAAATACTTGGCTTTGATTTCAAGGACTGTTAAGTTTTCATCAACTCTGTGTGTATTCAGAGCATACCCAGGAAAAAAACTCCTCTTGGCTAACACCTTTTCTTTAAGTCTTTTAAGAAAGAACTTGAATTTTATGTGTTTTTTTTTTTTTTTTTTTTTTGAAGCTAGGTCAGTTTTCTTTTTCATTGAAGTGGTACCACAGAACAAAAATCAAATGAAATTGTGGTGTGCTGGCAGCACATACACTGGGCGTGTACAATTTGGAACTGTGATTCGGCCTGGAGGACTTACTGTAAGTGGCATATAAATAGCAATATAAATAGAGGTCAGACTGAGGACCGGATGCATAAAGAAATTCTTGATAATGTAGCAATTTCTTTTGGTGAGGATCATATGAATTTTTAAAGAAGTTATCTCAAGCCTATAGTCACACTCCAAAGATAATAACTTTCACTTACAAAGCTGTAATCATAAATATGATGTATAGAAAAGTCATAAAAGGTAGACCAAAGTTAATGGTTAAAATGCACATTTCTTTAAGGAAATAGATTAGGAAAAAAATCAAAACACTTGACAATCTGTGATGTTTGAATTATTGCTTTGGTGCCAATTCCATTTTTATTAGACAGAAATATGGTCACTGTCAAGTGGTGCTGGGACTGTGCTGGAGGTCAGACAACTGTCTGAAGAGGGCACCACAAAGGGGATGACCCTCTTTGTGACCTAGATAAGGTCTGCAGTGTGAAGCATGTGGCAGGACCCTCTCCATTTGTACGTCTCCTCACCCACCATGTTGCCTCCCGTGGCCCCTCGTCCTGTCCCCCTCTTCCTCTCTCCCTTCTTTGCTCCTTTGCTCATGTTTCTGTGTATGTGTCAACACCAGAAGTTATTCTAAGCTTTGGGCTGAGTGAGTGGTAAAGATAAGACCATTGCCTTTTTTTTTTTTAATCTTTTGAGACACGGTCTCCCTGTAGCCTCAGCTGGCCTGGAACTTGCTATGTAGACCAGGCTGGCCTTGAACTCACAGAGATCTGCCTGCCTCTGCCTCCCGAGTGCTGGGATTACAGGCGTGCACCACCACACCTGCAGTAAGACCATTGTCTTTATAGAGCTTTCCTTCTAGTGGGTGACAGAAAAATGGCATGATTATACAGAATGATTAGCACTCTGGCAAAAATAAGGGAAAGCATTTGCCTTTAAGTAAGGAACCTCATTCCAGAGGAATGTCCTGAGATGTTTAAATACTGTCCTGAAGGGCAGTGTAGACAACCACCTACCTGTCTACACAGGTAGCTTCCTAGGCTCTTGGATTAGTTCTTTAGCTTACCTGTTGAAGAGCCTTGTAGGGCAAGTATTTCTTTCCCCATTGATGGAGGCCTCTGGAGATTTCTTGTTTTAGACATTAGATGTATAGACTCATTTAATACTTAGCATAACTCAATGAGGCAGGAACAATGATTCCCCACCTACCTGTGAGGAAGAGGAGGCCCAGGGAGCCATAACTGGAACACTGGCAGTATGGCTGCAGAGGTAGGCCCTTCCTATTCTCCATGCAGCCTATCAGATGAAGCCAGGTTGGACCTCACAGCACAGCCACAGCCACCCTGCATTCCCTTCTTCACACCCTTCAAGGATACTTATAAGCTACCTCTGAACTGAGAACTCTTGTCCTAGCTTCCACTAACTCCGTGCTGATTTGGGTGTGGCCATATGTGGAAATGATCAGAAAGCTCCCATATAGAAGGACCATTTAAGAATCCACAGATATTCTCAGACTATGACTCAGCCAAGAAATATGTTTGGGGGCAGCTGGAGCCTGATAGGTTAGGAAGGTGGGTGATGGAAAACTTTCATTTCAAAGGGGCAGGGATGTAAGCCATGTACATTCTGGGACATCATATGTCAGTTTCCATTTTAGAAGTCTGGTCATTCCTTTGTATTCTAACCTTCTGAGTCAGCTGCATCTATACAAGACTGCTACATGTGTTCAGAATGTGTCTGGTGGGAAGCCGGTGCAGGCCTCCATGTGGCTTACCTGTCAGAAGTGGAGGACTTCAGGAAGGCAAGAGGAGTCAGTTTTACATTTAGGCTTGACAGCTATTACATCATGAAGTCTTGTGTTTAGTAAGTCAGTTTGAGTTATGTTAAGCACTCTCAGAAACAAAACGTGGAATGGGAATAGAAGTTGTTATTCTTTTGAAAGGCCCTGGTTTTTGTGGCTGCTGCTCTGAGTCGAACACACTGATAAACAGAAGCCCATGAGAGAGCCATCTACAGTGGTGCTTCATGGTGATTCCCTTCCTTCTGCCTCATGTGGCTCACGGTTCACTCCTGTTCACACTTACATGTACACAACTAGTGCCCAGTGTGCTGAAGCTCATAATATATGTGAAAACAAAAACTCCTCTGGAGACATTTTCTCTCCACACAGAAATGATCTCAGTGAACAATGAGAAGATTGAGTCTCAACATATATAGATCAGACTTAGGGAGATTTTCTGAAATAGATCAACTTGGGGCCTGGGGAGGTGGCTCAGTGGGTAAAGCACTTGTTCTGCAAACATGAAGACCTGAGTTTGGAGCCTTAGAACCCATGCAAAGCTGAGCATGGTAGCTCTCACCGTGAGATGGAGGTGGAGAGGGAATCCATGGAGACAAGAAGATCATGGCTGCGTGCTTGGAGTACTTAGTAGGGGACAGCAAGAGACGTGTATCAAACAAGGCAGAAGGCAAAGACTGACACCCAAGGCCATTCTCTGACCTCCACGTGTACACACACACACACACACACACACACACACACACACACAATTTAAAAAAGATAATCCGATGTCAGCTTTCACTTAACCATCTGAGGATGTAGGATGCTTTATTCATTCATCAGTCCTTTTTTCTTTTTGGTGTTTTGTGACTGTGTCTTGCTGTGTAACTGAGGCTAGCCTTGCACTTGCTTGTCTGGTCAGCTGCCCAAGTTTTGGGATCACAGGCATATGCCACCAGGCTGACTGAATTAGTTCTTTGTTCTCTGCTCACCAAATGTTAAAGGTCAGGGATAGGAAAGAAGCAAGATTTATTATGCCACATGGGAGAGTTTTTGTATTGATGGGAGAGGTTGCCAAGTTTGTTTAGAAGCTTTTTGGACATTTTGTTTGGTCTACTTTAAAAATTAGTTTAGCATAAAAAATCTTTCTCCAGTCTCAACTCTGTAAGAAAGGTTACTATCATAGTGTCCTAGGAGGACTACAAGAGCCTAAATGCTCTTTAAAATAGCTATCTAGAGATTGAAATCTTCACAGGAGAGCCTCTCTGTAGCTCCTTGGAAGAAAGGAAAAGAAAAGGACACTTCTTTAAAAATGGCAATGGTAACAGAATCCCTCAAGCAGGCCTGGTTTATTGACAATCAAGAACAGGAATACATTGATACTGTGAAATCCAAAGCTGGCTCTGGGTCAGCAGTGAACTACTACCCTGGCTTCAATCCATCCTCAGATGTTGCTGCCTTGCACAAAGCCATAACAGTCAAAGATGTGGATGAAGCCACCATCATTGACATTTTAACCAAGAGAACCAATGCTCAGCGCCAGCAAATCAAGGCCGTGTACTTCCAGGAGCTTGGAAAGCCCCTGGATGAAATTCTGAAGAAAACCCTTTTAGGTCACCTGGAGGAGGTTGTTTTAGCGTGCTGCCTTGAAGGGACTTGGGACGGATGAAGATACTCTGATTGAAATTTGGTATCAAGAACAAACAAAGGAATCAGAGAAATTAACAGGGTCTACAGGGAGGAGCTGAAAAGAGATCTGGCCAAAGATATCACTTCAGATACATCTGGAGACTTCCAGAAGGCTTTACTTTCTCTTGCCAAGGGTGACCGTTGTGAGGATTTCCTTGTGAATCATGGTTTGGCTGATACAGATGCCAGGGCTTTATATGAAGCAGGAGAAAGGAGAAAGGGGACAGATGTAAACGTGTTCTGCACAATCCTGACCACTAGAAGCTATGCCCATCTCGCAGAGTGTTTCAGAATTATAAAAAGTACAGTCAGCGTGATATGAACAAAGTTCTGGGCCTGGAGCTGAAGGGTGACATTGAGAATTGCCTCACAGCCATTGTGAAGTGTGCCACCAGCACCCCAGCTTTCTTTGCCGAGAAACTTCATCAGGCCATGAAGGGAGCTGGAACTCGCCTTAAGGCATTGATCAGGATTATAGTCTCCCGTTCTGAAACTGACATGAATGAAATCAAAGTATTTTACCAGAAGAAGTATGGTATCTCTCTTTGCCAAGCCATTCTGGATGAAACTAAGGGAGACTATGAAAAAATCCTGGTGGCTCTTTGTGGTAGAAACTAGACTTTGAAGCAGTATGATCAGAACACCTGTTAGCTGTAGCTTTTTATTCTATCGCATAGGCTTAAACTGGAGATTCCTTCAGCTGTGAAGTCTGCTTACCTACTTTCTGAAAACTGTAGGCCATCAATCATATTTACATCACATCTGTATAATAGAGATAAACTTGTTTTGTTAATTACGTTTACCCCAAACTATAAGTCCCTGTAAACAGAGCTGGGGTTCTCCAAACCTTTAAGCCCAACATTCCAGGGGGTAGTCTGGTCTACAAAAGGAGCTCCAGCTCCCCCCCCCCACCCCAGAAAGCCTGTGAACAAGTTGTTTTGGTAACTTTCCTGAGAAAAATGTTTATGTAGCTGAAAATAAAACCATTTTGTAAAACAAAAAAAAAATACCTATCTAATTTTACAAACAGATTTTACATTTCTTTAGTATTTTTGATAAGTAATTTTCTACTTTGTTTTCTCCCCAAAATGATTTCATATAAAGACAGTCTTATTTTTTGAGCTTTATACATCTAAATATACCATTAAATATTCTGTGATCTAAATCTTGCCTTTAGGTTCTTAGGAAGAGGCAAGTGTTGGCCTCCATGTCTTTAGGAACTGTGAGGCTCCCCCAAGCCCCATGTAAACTGCAAGGAAGGTCTGGAATTCTAGTGATTGCATGCAGGAGAGGCAGGGCTCAGGTCTGTCTCCCAGGTGGCTGGTAGGAGAGGAAGGCATCCACTGCTGTCTGCCTTCTCTCACTCAGGCAAGAGTGTCATGTGTGTTGAGAGGCCACTTGTGGATGTTGCTGACTGGTGCCCCCACCTTCAGAGACACACTGTCTCAGGGATTCCCTTGGACCATTAGTTTTTACTCAGTCAAATATGTCACTCTTTTAGGCTTTGTCAGTTTTCAGTACTCTTCTGATATTCTTTCTGCCTTTTCTACCTCATTTTGTAACTTTGCTGATACTTAAAGAGATACTTCGATTGGGATGTAGCTTTTCAAACATCCCTAGCTCTGTTTTTCTGTTTCTACTCCCTTAAGACATCTATTTGCTTTCTTTTTCATAAATAAGCAACTTTCAACCTTCAGTTGTATTCAGAGACATAAAGATCTATGCTATTCTCTGTGCATTTTCGGGAAATTCTGGGGAGACTGTCCCTTCTATCTCTGTTCCATCTTGGAATCCCTCACTGGCATAGTTAGTTCCCTGGTGCTCCTTGGATTTGAGATCTTGTAGCTAGATGCTTGCATTATTTATATAAGCACTTGGGAGCCTTAAAGATTCAAATTGTTGAGGGATCTGGAAAGCTAGTATGAGGCCGGGTATCTTTGAGGGTATTTCTCTTTTTTATAAATTATTCAATTCTACTGGATCCACCTCAAAATGACACTTAGCAGCCTGAGCCTTTTGCTGCCCTACTTAGTTGCATGCATAGTTCAAGTTTTGATTCAACCTGCAAAACTCTTGGAGGACATTGTGAGTATCCCACCAGTCAGAAATAAGGGATAGTGTTGTACTGCACTGTTCAGGTCAGTATGAAGGGACTCAGTGACACACAGCCTCTGAGCTTTCCTGGTACCTGAATTGATTCTACTTTAGTGGACTTGAATCTTACATAATGCCAGACCACTGGGCTGCGTCCTGACCACCTTGTTAGTCCTCCTTCTGTGTTCTGCCCTAGTCTTTGTCTCTTGTGCCTGAACTTCTGAGAACATCCCCATTTCTTCTCTTTACCACCTGCTGTGCTGCTATGGTTGGCTCTTTGTAGCCATACATTCTAAGATCATAGAGATAATTGAACTTAGAGAGAAAATATTTGAAAAAAAATTCCTCATATTTGTACTGAATATGCACAGGCATCTTTTCTTGTTATAATTCTCTAAATACCATGTAACAATTGTTTATACAATTTGCATTATATATTAGGTATTATAAATAAACTATAGATTATTTAAAGTCTACAGGCAGATTATGTAGGTTCTATGCAAATATGATATATTAAATATACTTGGATTTGGAAATTTGTGGGGGTCCTGAAGCTGATCTTTCACAGATGTCAGGGCATGACTGCTTTTGCTGTTATGCAGAGATCTCCTGCCATCAGCTGGGCGGGGTAGGTCTTTGGCTGCTGACGCTGGCCTTGTCAGGGCCCAGTTTCCCATGCTGAGCCCTGCAGACCTGCTGGTAACGTTTGATATAGGCAACATAGCTGGTTACTATCCACCTGAGTTTCCACCTGCTTACTTTTTCTCAAATTATAGAAGGCTGAGTTCTGTTGACTTTGTGGTTAATCTGGCTTGTGTAGTCTGGTCACCACCTTTGCTTTTGTATGGCTTTGAGGCTAACACTGAACTTCGCGTTTTAAATTATAAAAAAATATATAGTTTTCCCATTCTGGACTTTCAGTTTTGAGCTCCGTCCCTGAGACTCCCTAGATTCCTGTCATCTTATCTCTTAGACTTCCTTGGGTCACAGGGACCTATCTTATCCTGGATCTTCAGGCCTCTTTAGTCTTGGCAGGGTCCCTGTGCAGTCAATCCTGAAATCTCAACTCTAAGGTGTGCCTATCTCTAGCTGAACTGAGACCACTTCCTTCACCCCACTTGTATATTGCAAAAGCGTGGCTCCAAAACTGAATATCAAGCCCTTCTGAGCCAGGCCATAACCTGCTAAGTTGGGGAAGCAAAAAACAAAATATAGCACTCAACAAAGATGAGATTACTTGTTCATATCAAGAAACACCACTGCACAAGTCCAGATGCCCAGGTCTCAACAACAACAAAAATCTCACAAACAACATGAATAACCAAAATAATGTGGCTACTACAGAAATTAGCATCTCCATCGCAATGTTGCCTGAGAATAATAACCAAGTGTGTTGGGTAGGCCTGTCCTCTGAGGGAACTAGAACTGAACACCCTCCCCTCCTCCCTGCAAGAGACTCAGTGGGGGAGGGTCTAGGGGCAGATGCTGAAGATGCTGAGAGACGCTAAGAACATGGGAAATGCTGAGCACACTGGGGGCGGGGGCAGGGAGGGGATTCGCCATCTGGGAAGAGGAGCTTGCAGTGGTGCCAATAGCATGGATCTCAAATGTGGGAGAGAAAGAGCCCATAGGGGTGCATGCCTTTGTAAGTGACCCTCTTCTGAATAGCATAAACTTTATTTGCAAGCCCAAATAAATATTCCTATTCCCCAAACTGTAACAGAAGAGGAACACTGTGGTGGTTTATTCTGCACTCTCTGGAATCCCAGAGAGCTCACATGGGTCTCTCAGGGGAAAATTTGGCTCGACAAAGTGAATGCACAAGACAATGACTTCAAAATAACTATTATAAACATGTTCGAGAACTCATTGAACTGAATGAACTGAATGAAGACTGTGAGAACACAAACAGCTGAATGAAATAACTAAATGCAAAACACGAAGCTTAAGTTCAATGAAGAGATAGAATCTCTGAAGAAAAGTCAATTTGAAATAAAACTTGGAATAAAAAACTCAGGGACTCAAACAAAAGGTTCAGAGGAAAGAAGCAAAAAATTAGTGGAGGAAATGGAATAGAGAATATTTTATCTTGAAAACAAATTTTGGCAATGGATCACTCAATCAAAGAAAATGTCATATTAAAAATAGCCCAGGAAC